AAGAGGCATAAGGTCAAGCCCCTACACTCCAAGAGCTCTCAGCTATTGGGAAAGGCCTATACAAAAAACAGTGCCAACTTTTATTACATGCAGAAAACACAGTGGAAGCACTGCTAAGGGAGGAGAATACCACTAATCGCTGCTTTAAACACTATGTGTTCCACGGTCCCAGGATACAGCGTATTCCAGACAAAGGGGTCACCAAAGGGAGGAGAAAGAGCAGGGTTCTTCTGGGAAATAAAAAGATGTTCAATTTGATACTGATTTATAGTCACTTGATACCTATATTTTTAACCTGCATTTACAAGTTAACATATAAGCTGTACCCTAAAATATCTAAGGGGTGTTACTAAAAAATCGTCCCGTAGTGTCACTATTTTATCATAAACCTTGCCAGCAGCTAATGCGTACTTTGAGTACACTAAATACACTACTCACTGAAAACTCGTTTATGGAACATATGTCAGATTTTAAAAGGTACTCCATGATAACTCTTAATTAGAAAGGTTCCCACTTTCAGTGTGGAATAATACAGCAAGTTTGAAACACATTCACAGAGCTAAACCAAAACTGAGAGTTCCACATGTTAAAAGACACTGATGTTCAAAATCCTTTGTGATACCTGGGATCTTTTATGAAGCTCTAGTCAAAGCAAGGAACCCTTGGGTGGTGCTACACATATGCATTTCCACCAAAGGTCAGAGCTACGCTTAGGCCAGGTTTACACCACAGAATACAAGCAAATGGACTGGAGAAGCACAGTCCCAGTTAAAGGTTGCTTCGTCTCATCACCAGTCCACCCAGTGGCTCCAAAATGCATACGCATTGAGAGAGGCTTATCTTGCTTTAATTAAAATCATGAAAGCATATTTTCCACTGCAGCCATTTAATTTTATGACTTTGTCAGTGATCAATTAAAAATATTTGTTTTACAGTTCCCTCAGTCTAATAGCCAAGGGATAAGTTATTTTTTTGCCAGTGGTGGGAGGGCAGGGGGAAACTCCACCCAATAAAACTTTAAGGCTACCTGAGAGACTTCCATGAAAAATGTAAGTTTTAGTGTTGTTCACTGTTGCAGATCAATCACTTGCTACCTGCAAAGCCATTTGTGTAAGGGAAACACCTCAGGTGTCTCGAATTGGGGTTTTGCTCGGTGGCTCCAGCCTTCAGCCTCTATTTTGAAGTCGCTCATCACCTTTTTGTTATTTTCAGTTGAGACATAACCTCCTTTGGGGCATATGTGGGTTACTGGCTTTCCTGGTCTTCAAGGGGTGAGCTGGAAGGTCTAGGTATCTGAGATTTCTCTCCCCTGGTCATTTCTACCCCGTTCCTCATCGTTCCTAGGGTCTCTTGAGTGGGAGAGGTTGCAGCCAGGGCAGCCACTGGGTTTGAACCCAGAAGGCAGGCCACTCATGCCTCAGTGTGCTAGAGCGGATGTAATCAAGTCCAAGGAATCGGTAAACTCGAGTGATGTCCGCAAGTCTCCTAGGAGAGCCTAATACCTGCCTGACCCGGTGCTCGCTTTCTGCATGCCTGTAAGCCTCCCGTGTCAAAGGAGGAAGTGGCTGCGGAGACTGTCGGTCCGCACGGGAGAGAGGCACAAACAGCTGCTACTTGGCCCCTTCAGGTCCAAGCTGGCTCTTTAGGACAGGAGGAGAAAACGCACAGCCCCCAAAGGGGAGAAACGGAAGGCGCCTGTGATGCTCACTAAAATGGACAGGTGTCACCTTCAGGTGGGCAGCGACACTCTGCTGAGACTTGGCCCACCTGGAGGCGGAGCGGCAGGGCAGGGTGCTGGTGGCCCTGGCTCCTCTTCCCCAAATGGAATCCGGAGGTTCGGCCCATTCTCTTCCTCCCGAGCACTTTTTAGAGGTTTGCAAAGGCCGCAGGCACTCGTTCCTAGCAGTAGGACCAGGTGCTGCGATGGGAGCTGGACCACATTTTCCTTTCGGAGGGCTGCGCATCTGTGTGACAAGAGGGGCCCAGGAGGGCTGCGCATCTGTGTGACAAGAAGGGCCCACGGGAGGGCGATGCCGCCAGCTAGGTCACTACCCCGGGCACGACCAGCTGCGTTCACACCGCAAAGTCACCAGCCGCGCCGGGCAGTTTGCAGAGGGCAGCCAGAGGCTTGCAAAACAGACAGCGATGTCTTGCATTTCTTTTCCAGCTCCAGTTTTTATTGCTGCGGAGGGCACGGCGTGAGCTGCCCGCCATCCCCGCCCTCTCTTGACAACAGCTCAGTGAGGCAAAAAGCATGATGGTCACGTAGCGAGCTGCCTCTCTGCTTTCCAGGGATTCATTTGAAGGAGGAAGCCTGTGGTACAGTTTGGCACTGCACAACATCGGCTTTTCCTCAAATGATGGAACTTCTTTGTATGAGAGACGAGAGAGAGAGAGAGAGAGAGAGAGAGAGAGAGAGAGAGAGAGAGAGAGACCCAAATTTAACACACATAACCTGCCTGGATTACAGGCGCAGGCAGACGTAGAGGAGGACACCTGCACGCTTTGTCCACCAGCGACGCCTGCATAGTGTGCGCAGGGCCGTATTAATGAGTTCTAGAGTATTTTTTCTATACTGCAACCACAGTGTGAATGTTCACTATTGCATACTGAAAAACTTTGAATGTCATGTAAGAAGGAACTGGGTTGGAGACAGGAGCCAAGATTTATTACCATTTCTGTGTTTTATGAGTTCTATTGTTTCCTACCTTTATTACCAGCGTTAGCTATAATGAGGATTCTAGAAAAAAAGAGCTGTAAAGAAGCATCCTTTAACTCCCACAATGTAGCTCTTCAGTTCTGGCCTCTTTAAGATTGGGGCAGGGTCTCGTCTCTTTATTATGTATTCCTAGATAGTAAGAGGCTGTCTCACTAACTTAGATACTTATAAAAGTTTTAAAGATCTAATACTGTGTGTGTGTGTGTGTGTGTGTGTGTGTGTGTGTGAACTGGGCCACAGAAGCGCTTTATGAAAGAGTTTCCTTACGATCCTGTCCGGATTCAAATTTCAAGTAGTTTGCATCATCGTCTTGTAATATCTGGGACATGCTTTCCTAATGGACAATTTTTTTTTTTTTAATAATGAGAATGGCTAGAATGAGTGGGGGGATATCATTCATCTGCCCCCACGATCTTATCTTTTTCAAGTGTGAAATTCAGTGGCAGAAGGAGATGGATCTACCCCAGGGCGACTCTAGATTCTTCTGCAAAGATGTGCTCGTCCTGCTTTCCGTCAGCAGAGCCCTGAGAGCCAGGTCGGGTTCGCTTGCTACCAAGACTTCCCTAATCCCTGCTCTGTGCTCGAGCACTTAGCAACTTCGAGAACTCGGGTTGTGGGTCTGGGCACACTAGTTCGAGTTCAGGGATTCTCCTAGTCACGTCTACCCCAAACTTTGGAGAAACTATCATAAAGGCTCAGGCTTTCCTAGGAAGCATCATCCTTGTTCTCCCAGTGATCGATCTGTTTCTGATTCTGCACGGCAGTTACAAAGGCAAGTGGATTTCCTAACGGCCGAGTCAAGTTAGGTACAGGTCAGCGGAATCCGCTCTGAAGCTGAAAGTGATGGGTGGCGCGAGGATGCTAGTAGCGCACCAGTCTCCGCCAGGCTTCCGAGGACACGTCAGCGGCGGCGGTGGCGGTGGCCCGGGCAGGCCTGGTCGTGAGCTCCCAGCCCTCCACGGGTGGGCGGCGAGTCCCAGGGGAGGGCGGGGAGACCCTCGGGCACCCACGGGGAGCTTCACGCACTCGGTCGGCCGGCCGCCCCAAACGCGCACGCCCCACCCCAGCAGCCACCTCATCCCGGATCTGAAAGGTGCCTGAAGGATCCTGCGGACCGCGGAGCCAGAGAGCGGTTTGGCTCAGGGCTTAGGTCGCCCGTTCGGGGCTACAAAACTCTGGAACTTCCAGCAGTTTCTGAAGCTCCGGGGCAGGGCTCTTTTGCAGCCAAGGGGCGGGGGTTGGGGAGCCGGGAGCCCGCGCTGCGGTGGGAACTTCAGTGAGTAGAAAGTGGCAGTGTCTTGGGAAGAGCAGCAAACTTTTTTTCCTCCCATAGCCAACAAAATCGACGCAGGGACAAGTGTTTGCCTGCTATTCGGAGGGGAGAATGGAGAGGAAGGGAGAGTAGTAAATGTGGGGAGCGGAGCCTTCGGGGGGATACAGCGTCCGCCCCTGGCCAAGTGCTGCTGTGGGGAGGTCTAGGTGCTTGAACCCGGGGTCAGACAGTTGTTCCGCGACAGTGCCGAGCTGGGGCTGGTAAGGAAGTCTGAGTGTTTACTGCCTCCTTTCCCTGTCCGAAGGTCATTTGCGCTTTTCGGTCTCGGAGAAGAGGACACTATGGAAGGGAAGGCGCGGGTCATTTTCAGAGGCTCTGCAAAGGATGGGCCGCCTACCGGGGGTGGAAATCCTTAATTACACCCTTCTGCCTTCGAATCCGTCTTCCCAGCAGTGTCTTGCACTCCCACCTCCTCGGGTGACTCAGCTGACCTGAAATGCCCACCCTACGGAAGATCAAGAAAAGTAGTTTTCTACGAAGGTTAGAGGTTTGATTACACAGAGAAGTGTTTCCACTTAAGTCCGAAGCAATTACCCGCCCCCTCCCCCAGGGCCTCCGCCTCCCCTCCACCGGCAGCAGCAAAGGACAGACCCCCACGCACGTACCCCTACACTTTGTTGGTGCGTGTGAATTTCAACTGTCGCAGTAAGTTCATTAGTGTTTGCAATCAGCGGCGGGCAGACCCCTCATCAGAGCCGAAAGCCGGCAAGAGCCATTCATCAGCGTGAAGTGTTATTCACGGATGACCCCTAAATCGCGGCGAGAGTAGTAGAGGCACTGATTGGTCACAGCATGGGAGACTCGGTGCTTTCCCGAACCAGACGCGGCCGGGAGGAGGGAAGGAGGGAGGGGCGGCGAACGTGGTTCAGTCCGGCAAATCCCATTTGACAGAAAAAGGCAGTAAACGGGGAATCTCTTTTTCTGAACAAAAAAGAAGAAATAAAGTACCTGTCATCTTGACAAGTGGCGGAGCGGAGAGTCAAGGATTATAAATGATCACAGCCAGGTCCAGCTCGCCCCGCGATTGGGCTCTCCCGCGATCCGCACCGGGGGAAGCGCATGGTAGGCTCCTCTCCTCGCCTCGCCTCGCCTCTCTCCCTCGCACACTCCCGCACACACACACGGACACGTGTACGCGCCGGGCTCGGGCACACTCGGCCCGGCGCGTCCCCCGCCCGCCGCGCAGTTACTGTCCTGGATGCCGCTCCCCGGCCCGGCGCCCCGCGGGCCTCCTCACCCGGTCCGGCTCGCCTTCCTCCTCCTCCCTCGCCTCCCCCGTCCTCCCGCTCGCGGGCCGAGCCCCAAAAACTCCGGCCCGGCCTGGTCCGCCGCTTCGGAGGAGGCTGGAGGGGCCGGCGGGCGCGGAGAGGGGGGAGAGCGGGGGAGAGAAAGAAAGTGAACTCATTGGCGCGCCGGCGCCCTCCCCTCCCGCGTCCCGGGGCCGCGCGGCCGGGGGCGGGCAGGGAAGGAAGTTGTAACACTCGCGCCCCCTCCCCGCCCCCGCCCCGCCGGCGCCCGCTCCCGGCTCCCTCGGCGGGCCCCCTCCCCCGCGCCCGGCTCCTTTGAATTTGGCCGGGCGCGGTGAGCGCGCGGCTCGGGCGGACGCGGCGGCTGCGGCCGGGGAGTGAGCCGGCAGCGCGGGCGAGCCGAGCGCGGTAAGTGCGGCGCCGCCGCCGGCGCGCCCTCCTTCCTTTCTGGGGTCCTAGTGCCGGGCCGCGGCGCCGGGAGCGGGCGGGCGGGAGCCAGGACGGAGCGTGGCTGCGAGTGGCCCCGTGAGGCGGCGGCGCGGGGGCATCTCCGCGGCGCGCGGGCTCTCTCCGCGGTCCGGCCTCCCGGTCCCCGCCCCGCCCTCGCGCCCGCCACCTCCGGCCGCCGGCTCAGGTGGGAACTTCGCCGGCGCCTCTCGCCCGGGGACCCAGGCGCCGCGCCCCCGTTCCGGGAAGCCCCGGGGTCCCCGAGGAAGGCGGCCCGGAGGCTGCGCGCCCTGTGGGGGCGGGGAGGGGAGCCCGCCTGGTCCTCTTCGGCCCCCGCTGTGTAGCGGGGCCCCGCGTCGTCTGCGGGGGTGTCTTGACAGGCTCCTGGGGGGCTTCCAGCGAGCGGAAAGCCCCGGGGTGTCACCGCTTTCCGGGGCAGGCCGAGGAGAGGAGGCGTCTGCGGCGGCCGGGGAGCCAAGTTGGAGAGGAGTGCAGGAGGGAGAGTGAGGGGCGAGGGGCAGCGTGGGGAGTGGTGGATCACGGCTGAAACTTGATCGGGAAACTCTGGATGGGGCTGGAAACACAAAATATCCTGAGCTGGGCGTTTCGAAAATTACGAATTTATGAGCCTACAACTGAGATTCTAAGTCTGTCTCGTGTTTTACAACCGATTACAAAGAGCTTCACATATTTTAGGTTGAGGCGGGTTATGTCTGCTGAGCATCTTACTATGCAGTTTGGATTCCCTTCTTACTGCCTCACCTTGAAGGTAGCTGGAGTGGTAACTTGTTAATTTTTATTGTGGAGAGAGGGTAACAAGTACTTGTACCGTGTAATAACATCACATACATGTGTTTTCCGAAGTCATTGTAATTTGGAGGTAGAAAAAAGTTTCCGGGTGCAATGGAAATGAAAGACTGGGAGCTGTCCTAGGCTTTTTGCAGGGCCCTAGCCGGCTGGGATGCCTGAGAACAGGACTGTCTCTTCATCATGCTCTGTTTCTTATCTTCTGACAATGTATTTTGTCAAACATTTGTAGACTCTAGCAGAATCCACTGGGTGGTCTTTTCACTAGAAATAGAAATACGTAGAGGCATTCCCTTTCCCTTCTCTTGTCAAAAGAAAAAAGGGGGCTATGGCATCTCTGGAAAGCTTGGAAGAGTATCCCAAAAGGTGGTATTGCAACTGAACAGAACTTGGTGATCTGATTCCCTTCGTGAATGTGGTTAAAATATAATGCATATCCCTTTGTCCCCATTGCCTACTTGGAGAAGTATTTGTAGTCTTTATGGTATTAATATATTGGGAACAGACTTTAGAATTAAGAGCCACTGTGTAATAATACATCATTGTTTTAATATTTCAATTAAAAAACAAGATGTTATGAATTCAACAATCTTGCTTTGTGCATTTCTTAATGCACTTTTAATTATCTAAAATTTCGAGCATGTATGTAAAATTCTTGTGTGATTCCTAAAAGTTTTGATTTATAATTCTAAATGCAAAGCAAATATTTAATTCTTGATCTAAGAGTGAGAGGTTAGTTCAGTAATAAGACTTGCTAATCCCACCTTAAAATGTCATGGCATTCACAAATTATTCCTAAATTTTCAAAGATAGGAGTTTATAATGAGTTTAGTTATTCTATTGTGTATTTCAGGATTGTCTGTATCTCTTCCTGTTGCATTGCCCTTAACAATCTTGCTCTTCTTTTTTCTTACATGAATTTTATTATTCCTCTTAATCAAATATTTTTTCTAATAGTAAACAAATATATCTTGTGTTAAATAACTTAAAAAAGAATATATATTTAGAAAAAGTAGTTCAGATCAAATACATATTTTATATGCATTGTGCAGTTTTTATGAAAAATGTAGTTATATTAATCACCATGTTAGTGTTTATGTATTTGTAAGGCTGTATGAATCTCCTATGCCAATAGCTTTAAGTTAGCAACCTAGGCCATCCTAATGGGGATTACTTGATTATTGGAAATAAAGGTGATAGGTTTATAGAATTGTTACTGGTTATTCCTCCAAATGCAATTATTTTGCATGGTTGTGTTTATTTTCTAGAAAGACATGTTTTAGGTAAATTATTGAGGCTTTTCTTACTGTGATTCTATAGGCGTGTCCTCAGTCTTCTGGTTAGGAAAGGGAACCTGCTTCATTAGGGGGAAGACAAAGAAAGATGAGGATGCTTATCTCTGAAAAGAAGAAAGCTCCTAAAGAGTGAAAAGTTTTAAACTTATTCAGAAGGGAAACCTAGCTAAACAATAATGATCCAGTTAGTAAGTTCAAGCTACTCTTTCTTAGCTTCGCTCCTGAGAGCCAAGAGTAATTATTCTCTTTGTAAAGAGTCAAGCAAATAAGAAAGCAGGAAGAAGTGCATGGCTATCATTGTGAGTAGAATGACCTGTCAGAAATACTGAATCACTATTACTCTGGATGTACAAAAATGATGTTTTTGCAATAGCTATGAATGTATGTTTGTAAATGCTGAAGTTTATCCTACCTGTAGGGATACTAGGGAATAAGTTCGGAGCATGGTCCTAGTCTGATATAAAAGCCCAACAAAGCCAAGTTGATTAGTTTCTTAATATTGATTATTTAAATAAATGCATGTGCCTCCTTTTTATTAAACTTTATTTTACCCTTTAAAATTTTGATTTCTGGATAGTGGTTGAGTATCGTCCAAGTTTTATACTTATTTGAGTCATTGTATTCAGCAGCAGCTGTAATGAATTGTCTGCCCTTTTCTTGAAGCTGTGCTGTGGAAACCTGTTAAGCTTGTTGAATTACACATTGCTTATCTCCCGAGTGCTTCGTTGGATAGTCGAATGTCCATTTTGACTTTGAGGACACGTTTTCTTTACTTAGGTTGAGAGTATGAGCAAAGAATACAATAATTTGCCACCAAACTTTTACTCTGGTCCATAACCAATTATATATTCTTTTGAATTTTCAGTCGAAGTCAGTGTTGTGTTCATAGTTGCCTTATAAAGTGAAATGGTAGCCTGTAGAAAAATCGAACACATGCATTTGGAGTAAAAAAGTCTGTTGAAAGATAACACAATAATACGTTATTTAAAAGTTTCAACAACTAAGTTTTAAAAATTATTTTCTGTACGCTTCTTTTAGAAGACATTTAAAAACTCATTTTTGGAGATATCAGCTGTTTTCACAGACCTGCTGGAAATTTTGTGCTAAAAAAAAAAAACAAAAACACCTACCTCTTTACTCTGAAAATTGATTAATTGTTGTGTCTTATAAAACCTGATTTATTTTATTCTTTTTTATACCAAACATTACCGTTATGAAGCTCTCCTTCTAATTGAGATTAATGTTTCTGTGCAAAGAAGTGGTTTGGAGGGCTGCATTCATTTTGAGTGCTGTTGTAATCAATTTTAGATACAGCGTTCCACAGTGGATCAGTTTGCGTCCAAACCTGCCTTATTATGTAGAATTAACTTGTTGGTGATTGATAGTAATACTTCTCCATGTTGAAAAGTCATTTGTTTCCAAACAAGTGTGATGGCTTGTATGAGTTTCAAAAGATTGCTTCTCATAATTAAAACATCCTATTAGGGACCTAATATGAACTTTTTCTAAGAATTATATAAAACATGAGGAAACAGTTCTTTCACATATATTTAACGAAAACAGCCCATTTTCCCAAAGTGCAGTATGCCTCAAGGCGTATTTTCTTGCTCATCAAAGGATTTTATGGCCTTTTGAGTCATTAATAGTAATTGTGATCCATCTAGGTTATTTCCTTTTCTGTTTGTATCAACATTCTAGTTCAGTTTTTCAGATATTTCTTAGAATTATGGATGGACCTCTTGTGCACATGTTATAACTTTATTTCATAAGATAGTAGGTATAATCCTGACAATGAAAGATAATGCATGTGGAGGTAATTCCTTAATGGAAATGTGGAGAGATAGTGAATGTTATCGTCCTCACTGTGATATTTGCATTTGTTGCTTATTTGTACCTGGTCAGCTTTGGTTTTATCAGCTTTTAATTCTCTTCTGAAAGACCACGTTAAGATTTTCTTGGGCTTTGGTTCATATTGCACTGTGATAGATGTAGTCCCAATCAAATAAAAGATTAAGAGCGCAGAATATAAGATTAATGTAGATTAGCATTCTAATATATTCATAGTATATATGATTTCTAAAGAAAGCTGTAACTGCTTTCTAGTGCATGTAAAGTTCCCACAATGGCATTACTCTTTACTTTCAGGAGGAAAAAAAACTTGGTAAGAAGTATGTATCTTTATTTTATTCTCTATAATGATAGATTCTTAACATTGGATTGGTATTTGTCTTGTGTAACACATTCATTTAAAACAGTTTTAAATGCTAAAAATAATGCACTTAAACTACCATTTTCAAAATATTATTGTACACAACCATTAGAGTATAAACTAGCAAAATGCAGAAACATGCTCTGAGATACATAGGTGTTTGGTATACCGAAACTACAATAGGATTCATTCTTTTGAAGGAACTGTGATAAAATTTTCTGTAGTTTTGATTAAATAACTCTGGTGGTTGCCTAGTTAGAACAGCTACTTGGAATTCACTAAAGATAGTGATCTACTAAAACCCATGTCTTTCTGTTTTAAATTAGTAACCGTGCAAATTAATGTTAGTATCATAGAATGAACTCATAAGTTGTATGAGTAGTGATTGAAACCATATCGTATAATAATAATAATAATGAGATTTTACTTGGAATCTTAGAAGAGCTAGGATCGGGTGGCACTGACTTTTCAAACAAGTTTGTGATAGGTGGCAGTCTTAACTGAGTTCCTAGACTTCCTTCAGAAAATAGGTATTTCTTACATGTTTAGTAGCATGTGTGGGGTGAAATGTAGCATAACACTAAATTATGCTTATATTCTTTTTTTTGAGTTTAGGAGTTAATCATGACTTATGGAGATATGGCATTTATTACTATTATTATTTACTATTTGACCCACTTTTATAGTTCCGTAGTTTATACTAGAGCATGCAAAAACAGTGATACCTTTTGAAAATACCGTTTTGGGGAAAACATAGTGGCTGTATTCACACTTGAATTTAATGATATAAAATTGTATCATTTATATAATTATGTGAAAGTCGTTGTGGGATGCTGCTTGTTGATAGTTTATTCTCAAATATTGTGGAATAGTTTTTACTTCTGTTAGAGCAGTTGGGGAGAGACAGGAATAATGTGATTTGGTTGCCCTGGGATGGGATCATATTATTTAATAATAACCAGCTATTTTATAGCTGGGTTTACTAGGTCTCTGCCTCAGAAACAAAGGGAGATAAGGGAAAGAGGAAGAGAGGAAGGAAGGAAGGGAGGAAGGGAGGGGAGTAAGGAAAAGAGAAAGAGGAGAAAAAAGGAAAATGAGTATCTTCTATAATGAGTGATGGTCCTTTGAGCATTTTCTGTGTGTAGC